TTGGTGAAGTCATTTGGTCGTTTCCAGGAGCATTAGTGAATAATACCTCTTTAACTTCCTCACAACGAGCTGCATACCAGTCCAGTAGCTCAATTAGATTCCCTCTATTAAGAGACTCTTTGGATTCATCGTGACCAAGAAATGTCAATCCTTGCATCAAGAGGAATCTAGTACAATCTAACACCGCAATCAATCTCGTCCTATAATTTTTTTTTAACTACTTTGGCTAAAAATAACGTAGGAGATACTTTGCTTTTGATTCATCAACTTGGTACACTTTACGAAAGTTTGATGATGAGAACTATCAAAGAGACCGACATTATCTCTTAATGTCTATTTTTACTTCCAATCCCTAAAGTCGGTCTTAGTGAATATATGTCCACCCGCTTGACCCCCTCTATCTGGTTTGAACAAGTAGCGATACAAACAATACACCCCGTCCTTTTCTATGATGTACTCCAACCAATTAAATTCAGCGAATCATTGTTTTCGAATACACCTATTATCACTTCACATCCATCTTCTTAGAAAGGCATGTCCAAGTGGTAGACAAGGACATTTCTCTAAGTATGTCATCCTAACATCATCTATGATATTAGGATCATATGACTCAATATAGGGCATTTCCCTGGATCAGATACAAGATCATCCGAACTGAATTGAGCCCGAGACTTTTTCGTGTTATTTAACACATCGATCGCTCGACTAGAAGTAGCAACAGGACTAGATGCAAGACTAGAATTGGAAGAAATAGATATGGACTTCCATTTTGGTTGAAAAAATCGTTCCATAATCTACAATTTCAAAACGCCTCAGTTTATTTTTCTAGCTCAATTGATTAAAAAAACAGAGTACACATTATTTGAATTGAGAAATGAGATCGTAATTCCTAAATGGAAAATGGGCCAAATCACAACTTAATCGCTCTAAACCCTAAATTAAAATTTGTAATTCAAACAATAGTGCAAGTGTGCAACATAAATCAATGAACTAATTTCTCATAATCTCATATGATACAATCTCATTTCAAATTTATGACATTGATACGACTAATTTCTCATTTCAAATCAAAATTAGTGAACTGAAGTCTGAATGTGAAAAGTGTCAATTAATTCATTATTTTAATTTTCCCCAATTCCAATTCCCCCAACCCAATTTTTAGCAAAAAATCATATATAATACATGATATAACATAATTACATAAATCATGATTTCATAACTCATAAATAGAAAATAACACCGAAACAAAAAAAACAAAAAAAATACATAAAAGTTAAAATAGAAAACTCAAGGTTTCACACGGGCGTGACCAGGGGCTGAGTCTGTTGACGAAGTGACGAATGGTTGCAACCATTCACATGAGCTTTCGGCACCGACACGACAGGCTGGCTAGACTGGTGGTGGTGGTGCTGGTGGTGGTGGACGAATGACGATTCATCGACAAGGCGGGTGAGAGATTGGAGAAACTGAAGAATTGGGAATTCAGGAATTGATTAATTGACTTCGAATGATTTGGGGTATTGGATTTGAGCCTATATTTTATATAATTAAGGATTGGGCCGGC